TTGTGTTTCAGTAAACTGCAAAATCAGGATGTAAAACGAGACTCAACTAGGGTTAGTACGGAAATTAGACAAGTTAAATGTGCCTCCAAGGTCTTTCAGCAAGGGTTACACATTCATCATATCTAGAACAACAGGCCAATGGTCGATCTTTTGTCCGGCTGCTTGCATGAACCAATACATGATCACCGGCCTAAGTCCTTGCTTATGGCTCCAGCTTTTGGAGTTCTTAGTGGAACATATCTGGGGTATTTGTATTTGTTGATGGTTGGCTTATAACTCACGTAACCCCACATGAAACTGCTGAAAGATCCATATTCCCTCAAAATCTGTATATTTCATGGATAAAATTCATTAACTTTCTAAAGAAAAACGATGCTGTTCTAGTGTTCAGAGATAAGGAAGGAGATGCAGATGCCGGAAAACGGAATGAATTCCGGGTTTGATTCATTAATTACTAAAAACTTGCCTTGAGTATGCATTTGGCGTTTGTCTGCATCTTAACATCATTGCTTTGTTCGATGATATCTTGTTGATTCCTTCATCTCCCATTTTAGCAACATTTTCAGGATCAAATCCCAAGCAGGATTCTCTGTCCGATTAACATAAAATTACAAGCTTTAGACAACATTTCACTAAATACTTATTCGATTATCGCCAAATTCAACATGACTAATTTGTTATATAAGCTATATATGCATATGCAAACTGAAGAACAATATCCTTTCTTTTCAAAATCTATCCAATTATAATCCATCAGCATACCAGACAAACGCAAGCAGTTCGAACAATTGGTTGTTTGATCGATTATCAATCGAAGATGTCGGTGAAAACAACATTAGGAGATTAGATGTCCGAATCCGAAGAATTAGAAACTTGTCATCGTAAACAGGAACTCCCCATTGCTCGTCGTGAAATAATATGTAAACCTTTTCTGTATCAGAAGACTTCTGTTAGTTTCTTAGGCATCAAGTTATCATCAACTTCTTCCATCTTCGTATACATATATATAGTAGTAATAATTCAGATTCATATAGTAATTCATGGGATTCTATTGTTTTGGAAATGTTTGAGAAAAATCATGGGATTCTCTTTGCTCCTCGTTTCGTAAGCAAAACAAATAGGGATACCTTGAACAGATTGCGCGTCGTTTCCTTTGGTGAGGGGCGAATAATTGTCTGAAGTTGGCTTTGGTCAATTGGAAGTATCTAGTTCGTTCCTCAGCTGATGTTGAATACGAGTGTATGGCTGAAATTGTCTGGTTGATCGAATTATTGGAAGAACTGGGGATGCAGTGTAGAACGCCACTCAAGCTTTTAAACCAATAATTCACCATGAAATGATGCAATCACTTTCTCCATTCTGATATGCTAACGTTAGTACCAGAGATGGTATCAGCATATTGATATAAGAAAATAAAATATAATTTTATGATAAAAATATTTAATTCGTTTAAAAAGTAATTGATTTATATTAATTCATAAATTTTGTAAACTTGAGAATATTTTAAAAATATATATGAAATTAACAAAAAATTATGAAGAAAATAGAAAACTATAATTTATGATACATGGGATTAAGCCCTACGGAATGCAATATTTGAGTTAATTGACAAATTTCTTATACACGCATAGTCTAGTTTAGCTTGTATGTTAGTTGAATATACACACACACACACACGGGCGGATCTACTAAGTTTCATAAGAGTTCAGTACATCTCTACTATTTTAAAAAATGATTAAATTTAGTTTGATTTGTTAAGAAAAAAATTACATATACATTATTCATAAAAAATATTATAATTTCGAATCCTATTTTTAAATTTCTAAATATATATATATATATATACATTGATCATATATATTTTGACCGCTTATAAGAGAAATAATTTCTTTTATTTTAAAATCTGGATGTTAGAAATTTCGGTGGCAAGCCGTTCTCTTCCTCCTCTCTCTCTTTTAATTTTAATTTGTGTCAATTTTTATAAATTAAATCAATTTTTTTATTATTTTGTTTAGTCGGGGCCACATTGTCGGTTGTCTTTTCTCTTTATTTTTTTTAATTTTTTAATAAAACAATTATATATTTGTGACATGTTTATCTCTATCTTTATGACACGTTTATCTATACCTTTATGATATGTTTGTCTCTGTATTTTGGTAGTTTTCGGTTGTTTGGCTGTTGTTTTCGTTGATCTTCTTTATCAGGGTTAGATTTGACATCGTCACGACTGATGAAGATGATGCTTATTTATTATCATGCTGATATTCCCTAGTTTTTACCATCAGATTAATTGGATACGCGTTTTGCGTTCGTGGATAGTTTTTTCACGTCGTTTGACTCTGATTTACAATTTTTCGATGGTATTTCAATAGTTTCATCCCCTTTTGTTATTCATTTGCCGATGCAGTCAGATTTGTTTGTATCTTTATTTTGTTCAAACATTGGTTAAGTTTTTTTTAACTTTTTTGTTTTTAGTCCTTGTGTGATTTTTATGTCAATGGTTATAGAAAAATATACTAATTATAATTTAATTTACATTTATAATTATGTTTATAAATCTTAATCGTAATTCTTGATATTTTATATTTTTAATAAAATTAGCTACTTTCTATATAAAAAAGTTATGTGACAACTAATTTATCAATAAAAAAATAAGTGTATAAAACTCAAAACAAACTGATCAATCCTTTAATTTACCCTAAATAATTTTATATTATATTTTCTAAAGAGAAAGACAGGTGTTTTAAAGATGACAAATACATTTATCTCTCATGAGAAAATAAATGTAGATTTTATGGGTGATTTTTTGCAATAATACAGTTGAGAAAAAATTGTTTAAATAGAACACTTGAGAGATTATTTATTCAAATGAGATGAATATTACAGTACACACCGCGTCTCTCCAATGTCGCATAGAACATTATGTGACTCTCTCTTCTCCGGACCACAATGCGTCTCCCCCTCCCCTTACATGATGCAATCACAGTGCGTCTTCAGGTGGTTGAGGGAGAGACTCATGAACTGTAATGCGTCTTTAGGATGTACTATAATAATCACCCCATTTAAAAAAATAATTCCGATAATATAGTTTTTTACGAAATAAAAAACTCAACTGTTTTAGCTGAAAAAATTAGCCCAGATTTCAATTTTAAACCAATAATTCACAATAAAATGTAAAAACAAAATACATTTGATATTTAAGTTTTTTCTTTTTAACAAACCCTCTGCTCTGTCTTTTTCTTCTGAACCCTCTGGCTTGTGTTATCCATATCAGTACTGCGATAACAAAAAGAATTGGATATTAGGAATTTATGTGGCAACTATATTATAAAATTAATTTTTTTTTATTTTCGTCAGCCATTTTTTTTTTAAAAAATACACACAACAAAATCTGTACAATTTTTTCTTCCAAATTTTACGTCGTGAGTATTAATAATTTAATACTTTGACACTTCTAAAAGTGTCAATTCCATTGATACTTAATTGATTAAAAATAAAAAAAATTAATTTAGTTAGATATATTACTATATAAATTTATTTCATAATAAAAGTAATTATCTTTATGAATAGTTATTATGAATTAAAATTAAATGTAAATTAATTATCACTTAAAAACTACCACTAATAAGGATGGAAGACCGATACAATTTCATGGATTTCGCATCGCATCCGCTTCAATTAGAGCAAAGATGAGTATAAATTTAGTTGGTAGTGGGCGGGTGTGGATATAAAAAGTCATACACACCTTGGGTAGTGAGTAGGTGATGGGTTTGAGACCTTACCCGCCCCACATCCGCTCGCCCACTAACTACCTATCATATAAATTTTGGACTATTATGAATTTAGGTATAATTTTAGAGATTATTCCGTAAATCTTAAGATTTTATAATATATGACTTGTAATTTAATAAAATATTAGGTATAATATTTTTAGAATTGAAGACCATCACTTATATAATCTGTGAGGTTGCTGTAGGCATGTATGGACAAGTACAAGTGGGTACGAGATGGGTGGTGGGTAACCGATTGACAGTGGGTATGGGGATGGATTTAAGAATAAACTCACATGGATGGGTGCGGATTTAAAAATTTTACCCATTGTAAATGGTGAAAATGTGGTAGATATAAAAATATTAAGTACATATGAGTAGATATAAAAATATTAAATACATATGAAGATAAGGGAGGAGGTATCCGTACCCACCCGCCCGTTTGTCATCCCTAACCATGAACCTCTTGTATTATTGTTATTTTTAACATTGATGGATGGAATTTTTATTCTTTGTCCATGGTTTTTTAAATTAAAGATTATTTGTTTTTATTATTATTTTAGAATTATGATCATTTCTATTGTTACTATTTAAGGTGAAAGTATGAACACATATCTGTATAGTTTCTGGTTTTTATATTCAAAGGAGAGCGTAGGGTAATGGTAATGGCAAGTTGGCAACTAGGCAAAGTGATAGTTGTGTGGGACATTAGCCAGTAGGGTTTTTCTTCACATACAATTAAGTTCTGTGGCCTTCTATGTTTTGGTCATATTAATTAAAAGAAAAGGTAAAATACGTATTTAGTCAGTCAATTATCTTTGTAGTTTCGTCTTGGTCACCTAATTAACTTTTTCAAAATCATCACTAAATAAATGTTTTTGTCCTGGTTTTTCACCCGGCTTTAAAAAATTAACAATGTTATTGATGTATCATTGTTAGGTAATATTATGTCATCATTGAAAAAAGTATCATGTCAATAGTTTTATTTATTTTTTAACAACGGTCGATCAAAATTGAACAAAAACCTAAGTTTAGTGATGAATTTAAAAAAATAGTTGAAAGATCAAAATAGAAACACTAGAATAGTTGGGTGACTAATGACATATTTTACCCCAAAAGAAAAGCCAGTAAGCTAGTAGTTCATGTATGAGCATCTCCTCCCCTATATATGTCCACATTGCAAGCTTGAGCTTATCAGGGCTGTAAATTCAAATCCGAGTATATTGTGTCTGGATGAATTAAACCTGTATCGTCGATTCAAAGTTTCAACATGAAAATGTATATTTTCTCAGTTAAATTTCTAGCCATCGTGTTTTTTCTCTTAGAGAACGTTATACGATCCTACCAACAGCTTCCTATTCCGGCAAATTACCACCAGATGGATCTGCACAAAGCCAGCGGCCCGGAAAGCATCGCCTTCGATTGTAAAAACGAAGGGCCCTACGTCGGAGTATCCGACGGGAGGATACTCAAATGGCAAGGGCTGAACCTCGGCTGGAAAGAATTTGCAGTTACTTCGCCCAACAGGTACTCTACTTACTTTTCTGAGCAAGTATTGATGATCAAAATTGTACGTTAATATTTATATTCAAATATAGGTGGTCCAAAAGATTATTGTTATTCCTAAAGGGTCATGGTTACGGGTATATCGTCTGTATGGATATTTAAGAGTTTATCGCATAAAAATTATCTTATAATCACTGTAGGTTAATATATATATATATACAAGTGTTAAATACGAGTATCAGACCGATAGTTAGGGATGGAAAACGGGTGGGTTGGGTGCGGATACCCCATCCCCTATCTCCATACCCACTTAATATTTTCAAATCCACCACTCGCCCACCCCATGACGATATGAGAGACGTACTCGGCTAGACCCGCCTAACATTAACCTTAAGTTATACATAAGCAATAAACATAAAACAAACACGTCAATTAAGAAGTATAATATTAGTCTATAAAATTATACCTAATATTTGGTTAAATTATAAGTTATATCTTATACAATATTAAGATTTATAAATTAGTCTCTAAAATTATACCTAAATTCATAATGATCCAAAATTTAATGGGTATTTAGTGGGCGGGAGGATGCGGGGCAGGTAAGGTCTCAAACCCATCACCCGCCCACTACTCGCGACGGGTACCACTTTCTAAATCCACACCCACCCACTACCAACTAAAGTTATACCCATCCCTGCCCCAATTGGAGCGAGTACGGTTCGAAATCCACGAAATTATATGTGTTTGCTATCCCTACCAATAGCTCTTATCTCACTCCAATGGCGGATCCATATATAACCTAGGTCTATCGTGAAATTCAAATTTCTTTATATTAGTTGTCTATTTTTTTTGAAGTTATCGGTCCTGAATTTTTTTTGTTTATTTGTCTCGTATAACAAATTTTTGTTATTAATACATATATCTCCACCCTAAAAATGTTTCAAAATCAATCACGGTATCACTCCATGCATGCGAAACAGTTTTTTTAACTTTTTAATTCTAATTTTAACAGAAACAAACTCCCTCTTTTTTGTCCTTAGATGCATGCATGCACGCACGTAATCTTTCGTTATGATTAATCAAACATCAAGATATTATTATTAGTGGTAGTAATAGTAATAGAAGAAGAAGACTGCCTCTTCAAAAGAAACAGGTCGTTATCACAACAGTATTTGTACACAATAAATTTGGCTCAATTCTCATTGGTGATTTCTGTTGGCATTTATAAATGCAATTGTAAATGAGAGGGCCACGGCGTAAATGGAGTATTTTCAGATCTTCGCTGTAAATGTACCGGAAAATAACATGATAGAAAATTATTTTAAAAACTTACACGATTGGAATAATTAATGTACGTATTAAACTTTATAAAAATGGAATTCTTTTTTTAAAGAATAACAGGATAAAGTATACAAAGACGATACAAGTTTCTTGTTGGACAGCTCTTATTTTCTATGGCTTAGGTTTTGCCAAGCAGGACAATCTCGGAGCCTTCTGTTTTGGCTTTGACAATTGAAATCAACGTTAATATCAACAGCCGTACGTAAAACATTGAATGCTTGGTTTGTTAGGAAAATTAACCTAATTTGGAGACTAGCTATTTGTTCTTAAATAATGGTAAACAGATACACTTAATTCAAGTAAAATCATTCTATATACAAGTCCGTAAATTTTTTTTCCTCTTTGATTAAATAATTACTCATAACTTAATATTTTGTTTGTTGGATTAGGGATAAGAAGGTGTGCGACGGGGCAACAAATATAGACCTCGAACCAACATGCGGGAGGCCGTTGGGTCTAAAATTCAACCGCAAGACATGCGATCTCTACATCGCGGACGCTTACTTCGGTTTATTAGCAGTAGGTCCGAACGGAGGCAAGGCTCGACAACTCGTGGCTTCGGCCGAAGGGATCCCGTTCAAATTGACGAACGCTTTAGACATCGATACCGATACCGGGATGATTTATTTTACTGATAGTAGCAATACTTTTCAAAGAAGGTATCGAACTCTTTAACTTTTCATTTCAGCTTCACTTGTTCAACCCATGAGTGTAACAAGAAGTGATTGTTGTAGGCATATTTTCTTATCGGTAATGAGCTTCGATAGAACCGGAAGGCTCCTAAAATACGATCCTCGGACGAAACAAGTGACCGTAATGTACAAAGGCCTAGCATTTCCCAACGGGGTGGCTTTGAGTAAAGATAACTCGTTCCTTCTCGTTGCGGAGTCGATGAAAATGAGGATTTTGAAGTTTAATCTCGGGAACGAAGGGAATGGTTATGTTTTTGAACAGTTTGTGCAGTTATCAAGAACTCCGGATAATGTCAAGAGGAACGAAAAAGGAGAGTTTTGGGTCGGTTTGAATAGCGGAAGAGAAGGTATTCAAGACGATTTGTTCGGGTTTGACATGGATCCTGTCGGAATCAAATACGATGAAGATGGAAAGGTTTTGAAACAGGTGGACGGGAACGGCGGGCTCACGTTTAGTTCCGTGAGCGAGATTGAAGAATTCAATGGAGAGTTATACATAGGTTCGGTACTGAAACCTTATGTGGGGATTCTATCCGCATAGAAGGATTAGGATTATTATATTTCATCAAATTATTATTGTATTTGTATTTGGTATCCAATAATGATAAGTATAAAGTTATTTTATACCGACATTAATATAATAATATGATGATAATAATAACAATAATAATGTATTTCACTTGTTTTTTTAAAGATTTTTTATTAAGTTAACGTGATTATAAAATAGTATATGTCCTAAATATTTTTAACTATGTGACAATAAATGTTTAATTACTCTTATTGTAATTGTTAATGTTTGAATCCGAAATCTATAAAAATATCAATTTTTTTTGTAATTATTAAGATAATTTTGTTTATGTTACGTAGATTTTCATTCTCTCTTTATTCTCGAAATTATGAGATACGGGACTAAGTATGAGAGGGGATTTACTTTTTAAAATGGTAAAACTATAGTAACGTAAGTATAATAATACTAGATGTAAATTAATCATAAAATAAAAAAAAATTAAAGTTTTGGATAAAAAATATTATACCAAAAGATAGTATAAGAAAATTTACGATTAAATGCGATTTAAGATTTAAATAATTCGATTTTAAACTCTAATTTCTAATATCTATTTATATAAATATGATTATTTTTATTGATCTAGAGTATGTACAAGGCAATATTTATTCAAATATAACTCTAAATCTTTCGACATAAACGCTCTCACTTCTTCTATACAAATATGTTTATTATTTATGAATAAAATTCTCAAATTTTGATTTTTATTCTTCATCAGTCTGCAAAGAAAAAAAAGTAGAATTTTATATCGATTGAACTATTTCATTATGCGGAAGTTCCACGTATATCCCTTTTTTATTTTATATTTTAAATGAATTTCTTCTTTAACTAGCTCAATATGATAAAAAGAATTTGAATCACATAACTATAATATAACTATAAATTAATAAATTATAAACTTTTGTTTAATTATCTAAAAAATATTAAATTTATGAGTTCTTGTTTTGGTTTTGGAATACAAGGGTTTTTATGATGATGGGTAATGAAAGAGGGAAAGTTGTGGGGGCATACAACGATAGTGTTGGGCTTTTCCATGATTATTACAAAACAACATCGGATGTACGATGTAAGAAACATCCACAACAATCTCCGGTCGGTGTATGCGCCTCTTTGTAGTTTCCGGGGCGGTGGGCTTTTCGGAACGGAAGATGGGACAGGTTCACCGAAATTTTCCGGTGCTAGGAGCTCCGATTTCAATCCTGAAAGTAAAGCTGTTACGTCCTGACGGTGGTGGTTTTACCGGTGCAGACAGGCGGGTTTTTTTCACAGAAAGAGAGTTATTTGACCGGTGGAGAAGACGATTCAGGCGAAAGATCAGACGAAATTTCAAACGTCGGCGATGGATTTTCAAAGCAGTTGCAAAAAAGATTAAAATATTAAGTAATCAACAGGGTTGAAATTCGATCTCGATGTCGTTTTCTTCGTGTCTTGTTTCCGACAGAGACATGAAATGTAATTGAATTATGCGTGGACCGGCTAATAAATGAAAAAGGCAAGAACATGTTCGAGAGACAGGACCAATCTCAATCTCAACTTAATTTTGAACCGAAATAATTTATCCTTCTTTTCCAGGTGGTTGGGTGTTAAAAGGATGTCATCTAATTCCGATTGAAGTGTCAAAACTCAAAAGAATTTTGAAATTGAAATTACAACGAGTGGAAACCTGGTGACAAACAGGGAAAACGATACAACGAGTGGGTGAAGAGATGAAGTTAACTTTCCATTTTGGTCCCGGCACTTGAAAAAGAAGCAATCGTGGTACGATTCCTGACAGCATTAAGGATATTATTATTTTTAATAGAACCCAGTAGTAATATTAAAATGTAAAAATATCTAAATTATAATAAAGTTTATAATTATCATTGTAAACTAAATATTTAATTTTGACATTTTTTATAACATTTAAACTATGAATTTTAGATAATATAAGGATCATATATGAAAAAGGTTAAAAAAACTACATCGACAAACAAACTATAAAAATGAATTAAGCTATTGAAAGAATACTGATAACCGCAAATCAAAGTTGAGCGTAATGATAAATTATCTATAAACACAAAGTCGTGCATTCAAATTCAATATAAGGGTTCATAACAGGAAAAATCAATATGATTACAAATAAGCGTCATCTTGATCAGTCATAGCATCATCAAATCTAACCATGAGAAAACATAAATAAAAAATAGTCAAACGATCGAGAAAGAAAACAAAAAACATACCACAAAAGGCAAATATAGGAAAAAAGTGTCATAAAAGTATAATTATTCTCATTAAAAACTAAAAAATAAACATAAAAAAAATCGATGATGAACAACTAACATAAAAAATGATGTCGTCATTAACTAAACAAAATTAAAAGAAAAAATTTAATATGACAGAAAGAAAATCACACAAACTCAAAGGAAAAAAAAGAGGGGAAAGAGAGAGCGGCTAAGGTATGTAATTGTAAAAATACTTTAATTTTTAAAAAGGGTGTTATTAAACATTAAATGTTATATCATTTATACGATTGATTTTTTATTATTTTTATTATAATATTAGATTTTAATGTTAATAATTTTTTATGAAACTAAGATGATTACAAATAGTATTTGTTCTAAATACTCTCAATTATTTGACAATGAACACTCAATCACCCTTTATAATAGATAATGCTCGAACTCGTGACCTTTAAGAACAATTACAATTCCTTTAACTACTTAATTAAATTAATTCATACTTTAATTTTAAATTTCATTATACTATTAAAACGTTAATTCAATAATAGTACAATAACGTGGATGATAGTTGTCGACGTAAATCAAATGATATTGTTTTAATGGGACTATTTTGACGTGAAAATATGCATGTGTTTTCACTTAAATAGAGTTAATCTTAACAAATTAACGGCGTTGAAATTCAATTCGGTGTCGTTTTCTTTGTGTTGATGAGTGGTTTTTGTCTTTGACACAGAAATGCAATTTAATTGGCTATTTGACATAACTGACATCAATTTTCTTTAATATCTCTTTTCTGACACCGTTTGATCAATATTTCTCGAAGTAGCACTCTTTCTGTTGAGCTGGCGAAAGACACGTCCTCGGGACGCGCTTTACTCGTGTTTTCGTTGAGTTGGATACCACGTGTGGAAGGCGCATCCCCGGGGACGCGCCTTTCGCCAGCTCGACTGCCACGTATTTTGTTTAATAATAAATATTTTATTTTTAATATTATTATAAATTAATAATATATTATGTAAAGTGTTTCGATTATAATGTAAGAATTATCAAATGTATTTTGTTAATGTGTGTTAAAGGTGGAGTGAATTATCTACATTAATATGATATAACAATATATGAAAACCAGTTTTGACTTTATTGTAGTTATAGGAAAAATGTATAAAATTATAATATTACACATATGGTTATATTATTATTTTTTATTTTGATTATCGATCTATTAATTTTATCAGTTAATTATTTAAATGTTATCAATTAGTCATCTCATATCAATATTTAACAAAAATATTGATGCATAAGTTATTAAATTAGTATAATTACATATTTAATCTTCAAGACTTACATATTTTATGAAATTAGTCTTATTGAAAATTTAATTTAATAAATTTAATCCTCCAATCAGAACATTAAATGTGTCATCGTATACATAAATTTTTAATAACTTTTAATTTGTTTAATTTAATATTTTTCTCTACTTAGAAAGTGGAATTATTATTATATTTAAAAAAAATTATAACTAATAATATTAATTATTATATTAAATAAATATATTAAAAATTTATGTATTTAAAAGTTAAAAAAAATTATTTAGGTGTACATACATTGACAAATTATATAAATACAATAACATTAAATTATTAGAAACAAAAACATTCATTTAAATATAATATTAATTACATAAGAGTTAACGGTTATATGATGATAACAGAGCTGGACATTTTTTTCTATTGTGCACGATGTTTCTACAATGCCCATATCGTTTTTGTTCTGTTGACTTCTCCCGAATATCCATATCACAATGTATTCTAGTAGATTTTGGACGACCTGAGTCCCTCAATAGCAATGGATCTGGTACAATTGTAAGCCAAGTTTGAATCTCATTTGGGTCTCTTTCGTTTCCTATGGGCGGGAACTCAAATTCATATACCTTGAATACTTGTGAAAGTTGGTATACGGGATCAACATAATTTTTGTAGTCCAAATGCGAATGTGAGCAAGCAGCAATGACATGAGAGCATGAATATTTGAGTGCTTGAAAGAAACCACAATCGCACAACCTCTCTTGCAGATTAACTCTGAAAGAGTTAGCTCCAATCCCTTGCAGCGGACGTGGCATTTCGGTTACACGAAACAATTCACGGGTGCGAGAAAAATTTGTAACTAACATCTCATTTGATGCATCCATTTTTTTTTTGTAAATCAACTACTAGTCTTGGGTGGTAAATATGTCCGTTTTGCATCCAAGTAAGAGCTTGTCCACCGAGCTTTGCAAAGAGTTGACCCAAACGAAAATAAGTCGTTTTAACCAACGCCGTGACTGGTAAATGACGCGCCCCCTTTAAGGTTGAATTTATTGCTTCAGCCAAGTTTGTTGTCATATGACCATAGCGATACCCCCCGTCATATGCATTTGTCCATATTTATTTGCTGATGTCCATAATGTACTCGCACCCCTTCTTATTTTTGCCAAACAACTCTTGTAGCATCGACTCAAACCTTTGAGGTAAGAGTTCGTAACCTAAGCAATTAGGAATATGTAATAGTTAATATGAAATATATATAAGTAATAAGAAGTTGATAGAAAAATTGGGAAAAAGTAACATACCCATCCGCACGACTAACTGACGTTCATCGTTCTTCTTGTGTTTTCCGTAATAGTTTGCAGCAATATGACGGACACAATAACGATGTTGAACATGTGGAGGTCTATACATTCTACCCAAAGAGTCCATTGCTGCTTTTATCCCTGCTCCTCGG